GGGGGGTGCTGTAGCCATTAACAGCGCTGATCTAAGGATGAGGCCTCATTCTGTCAGGCCTGACTGAGCTGTGCTGATCCCCTGTGGCCTTCTGGGGGTCATACGCTCCTCTCTGTATGAAAAGCAGGAAAGCAACTGACTGAAAAGCCCTTTATAGCTACTTTTTCCTATGTTTTTTCAGTTTTATATTTTTCCTAAAATTTTCCAGTTGCTGTTCCAGTTTGTCTAGTGGGATGTTTAGCAGACACCCTGAAGGTATCCCAGCTGGACGTGTGTGAACGCAGGCTCGATGATATGCATCACTCGGACAAAAGAAGCAATATGTTTGGTGTGCGTGCTGTCAGACCGCTGGGAACTCATCTAGGGTGGTGGGGGGGGGTGTCAGTTTCAGATATTCTGATCATCTGGTTGTGATCAAGCGGGAAATGGGGGGTGGGGGTCCAGTGAGACTGTGTTTACCTGGAAATGTGAAGGGCGTTACATCTCTGACACTCACTTTTAAATTTATTTTGGGAAGCTTCTCCTCGATGCATCCAGAATGTATGAGAAGTTTCATCGCAGATTTTGATTTGCATTTTGAATTAAAACAGGTGATTTTCACAGCCTGAGAGAGGCTCCATCTGAATATGGATGTTGCCCAGCCCTCAAGGTTATTTCTTGCAGGCTGGAGAAAGGATTGGATCCTGGCTTCTGGCCGAGACGTGAGGATGTGAGGGGGGTCATCAGTCAGCCCAGCTCTGCCCCCCTGGCATATTAACAGGAGTGGAAGTCAGGCTCACAGACTAATGAATCAGAGGGATGGGCATGTGGACTCCATACACTAATGAGTCAGAGTGAGCGTGTGGCACTCCACAGACTAATGAGTCAGAGTCAGTGTGTAAGCTCCGCAGACTAATCAGTCAGAGTCAGTGTGTGAGCTCCACAGACTGAGTCACAGTGAGCGTGTGGCACTCCACAGACTAATGAGTCAGAGTGAGCGTGTGGCACTCCACAGACTAATGAGTCAGAGTCAGTGTGTAAGCTCCGCAGACTAATCAGTCAGAGTCAGTGTGTGAGCTCCACAGACTGAGTCACAGTGAGCGTGTGGCACTCCACAGACTAATGAGTCAGAGTGAGCGTGTGGCACTCCACAGGCTAATGAGTCAGAGTCAGTGTGTGGCACTCCACAGACTAATGAGTCAGAGTTAGTGTGTGAACTCCACAGACTAATGAGTCAGAGTGAGTGTGTGAGCTCCAGATGATCTTGCCTTAAATTTAGTGTCACTTGTGTGTTTCGTTTCAATCGAATGCAGCAGTTAAACCTTAATGTCGTGGGATATCGGTAAGTGAGATAAGGTGGACTCCTTCCATCTTTCTGTCTATTAGGGTAAATTTCCTTGCCGTTTCTTCTTTTTGTTTGGCATTGGGGGCTGGTGAGCAGATTCCGAGCCCCCACCGCTGGGCCAGTCCACGGACCACGACCATGTTTAGATGGTGATTGAGCCCCCATTGTGTCCATCAGTCTGACAGGAGCATCTTCCCTCTGGAGACCACTCGGTCGCCTCATGCGGGGGTCACTCGTAAGCCACCCACTCTCCTAACAGCTCAGTCTTCTAACAGTCTGCAGGGGGAAGGTGTCATCCTCTATAAATATGCAGATTTCTGCTTAATTAACACAGCTGCCGCTCGCCTACGCTTCGCAGCGTAGAGTAACGGGGTGTGTATGACCTAGTTGTGAGCAGGGTTGGGTAAGTTGCTTTAAAAATGGAATCTGGTACAATTGCCTGTTGACAAATGTAATCAGTAATGTAATCTAAGTATCTCAAAATAAAAGTAATGTAACTAATTACTTTTAGTTACTTTTGGATTACATCAATGGCAGCTAAAGACGAGAGTACGGAAATGTCAAAGAGAATACTTTTGATTAGGTAACAGAACATGTGTTGTTAAAATAATAATATACATACATTATTATGGAATGCCGTCAGGGTAAAAACCGTGAGACAGAATGTCTCCATGTGGCATTTTTCCCCTGTAGACACGGTAATGAGCAAGTAACAGTACTCATATAATGGAATACAATTTGGCCTAATAATAATCATGGCAATGAGGAAATTATCCTATCCTATATGGGAGATTAAGGACAGACGGTGTCGTACAGTATGTGTTGTCCATGTGATTTGGGGCTCTACAAATAAAACTGAAGTACGGTAGAGTATTGTCTTAATTTGTAGAAGTAGTACTGATATACTGGTAGCCTATGTGCCTGTTCAGCTTTGTGTAAAGAGCATAATACTTTGCCAACTAACTCTGGGTATCGATATCTGGGTCTCTGTAGCTAATGTTAGCGGTTGGTCTTGTAGTTTTACTTCTAAATGTTACTTTAAGTTTGACGTCGAGCTCTTTAATGTTAGCCAGGATTTTCATAGCTGGACCACATAATATGCATGGCACTGTGATATTTCCCCTCTCCTCCTTAAAAACAAAACAGCTGCAAAATGTCCACGAATTTGATGGTTTTCTTGACAGGCATCCATCTGTAACAGCTGCTTAGCCGTCAACAAATGGGGAGTGGAAAAAAAAGAAAAAAAAATCAGAAAAAAGCACATAGACATTGAGAGAGGTACAGTAAGCCTGCAGCCTGCAGCCCGGTGCCAGTGGGAGGGGCTTATGCTGTCGGTAGGAGGGAGGAACGTCAACACATCCTGTGAGAGGTGCTGTTTCTGCAGAAAGCGGCGTGACATCAGCTTCACCTTCTTCATAAACACATCAGAAAACCATCCCTCTTTTTCAGATTTATTATTTAGGAGTTGTGAGAGAAGAAATGACTAGAGGGATATTTTGGCAGGTTACGTAAGGCAGTTATTTGTATTGCATCGCTTCCCAAGCCTGAATGGCGTTAGCAGGTATCTGCAGTTTTAAAAGTGAACAAGGAGGGGCGGTACAGAGAGACCAGCTTCATGGTGTTAAAAAGGGGGTAAGAATGTGAGGAAACATGAAGAAACATGAAGGGACTGCAAAGGGAGGGAAGCCCCCCCCCCCATCATTTCACACAGCCTTTGAATACCAGCGAGATTCTACACTTGAAAGTGACGTTCAGCTGTCACTTGCTCAGTGCCGTATCGCTTTCCACCCGCATATGGCCTGTCAGAGGGGGGCGCTAGGTTGACTTCCTTCAGGGTCAGGAGTATGCTGACCCCCCCCCCCCCCACCTACCTCGCCTTCCTATCATTATTACCAAATTGCCTCCATTACTTTAATGGTTTTGACATTTTGCTAAAGGATAAATTCCAGCAGGGGATTTCCCCGTTGGCCTGCTCCCTATAACTAGTGTGCCTGTGCTTTGCTAATTGGGCTGGTTATGATGCACAAATGGCTCACAACGAGCCACGTTTGCGTCCAGCCCCACGGGAGCTGGTGATGGAACTCAGAGAAGCTCCGCTGTCAGGGAGGGGCTGAGTTTCCTGGTCCTGACACCTCCTCCCCCCCCGCCCCACAGCGTTCCAGGCCTTCCTGGGTAAGGAGGACGTGTCGGCGGAGCTGGAGGAGGTCCACGCTGAGGGGCGGGCCCAGACCACCATGCGTGCCGCCTCGGTGGGCCAGCTGCTGCGGTGCCGTGCCGTGCGCTGGCAGGTGGTCACGGTCGTGGTGACCATGGCCTGCTACCAGCTGTGCGGCCTGAACGCGGTGAGTACCTGCCGGCCGGCCTCCGAGGACTGAGGGACAGCCAGAAGTTATAAACTCCCCAAACCTGCTTGCCTGCCTGACTCTCCCTCCTGAGTCCCAGTGCCTTTACCATGATAGTTATCCTGTAGACTAGTACAGGTACAGTCCAGAGACAACTACCAAAAACAAGTACTTCAGTCTAGATTGACCGAAATAATGGGAAAGTGGCCCCACCCAGCTAACTCTACACCTAACGTTACACCTAACTCTAAGCATGATGGGATATCACACCTCCGGAGACACGCCTTTGTGCTATTTCCCGTTTCTGATGCCCCCCGGTGTCTCGCATTTCCCCCAGCCCCCCCTTTCTGTCAGTTACTTGTCCTTCTCCACAGCTGCCAGGTCGCATTGGCTTCTGTTCGAGGACGGGACTGTTCATTAGCATTTGCATACTTCAGGCCATGTCCCTCCGCAGCCATGAGATCAGGCATCTGTGTGGCCGGCGAGATGCAAGAGGGAAACTGCCTGTTCGGAACGATCGGGGTAACAAGATGAATCCTCCGAACTAAGCGCTGCCTGAAAGCAAGTCACTTTGTGAATAATCTCACCTTTCATTCAAAAGCACAAAAGCCTGTATGCTCAGGCAGCGGTGGCCCGTAGGTAATAAACTCAGCTCACCGCACATGCTGGGAAAGCAGCAGGAAAAGAGTCTCTTTAATTGGAGTTTTCTTTTCCTGTGTGACTTCATCAGACCGCCGTGCATTGTGGGAGATTGGCTGTACTGTCTGTCACATTCAGTCCTCTATCAGTCACACTACAAGAACCGTGATTGAAATCATTACCTTGAATTACGGTACCATGCTCCAAGTCCGATTTTGATAATAAAAAATAACCTTATAAACACTTTTTTGTGTTTACTTGATGGACTGGTGGACTGAGATAAAAGAAGATAACAGGGAAATCAGTGGCTGCGAGTGAGGTGGACTGTGAGTCGATAATGTGATATTTACTTCAGTGAAAAATGAGACGCCGTGTTGCTTCCAAGCAGCAGATACAGGAACTGGCAGCGTGACATTCTGTTTACCTACATCCACAAATAAACATTGTACGCCAGCTATTGAAATATAAGCTGGCAGTTATATATGAATAATTAAGCAGCCGGTATTGGATTACTAAACTGTAGTGTTGTATAGAGAAACGCCTTTGAAATGGTGTGATGCCATTGTTAAGGGGTAAATGGATGGAATGGGGCTGAACGGCAGCTCCTTTGGCTGTCAGCCCGCATGCTGCCGTTTCCACGGAGGGCAGCTGATGTGCTGCCTTAGCAGGTCACGCGCACCTTTGGCTGGATCCCTGAAGCTGCTGTTCATATGGTTTGTGGGGTTTCTAAGAGACGCCTGCAGGTTTGTGGATGTAAGCATATGTACCTTCTGGGAGGCAGTTTTTCTGCCCGTTTTCTAAAAATGGGGTCCCAAATGAGTCAATTTGTTAATCAAATAACTAGACTGAAGCCCAGCCTGGCCGATCTCTGTCTCTACTGGGTAGCCCCCACCCCCTGCCTCCCACACTCTGCCCACCCCTTCCCCTCTGCACTGAAGGGCCACTTGCCGCAAAACCATTTCTGCTTGACATGGCTTTCATTCCAAAGAGATTGAATATTTTCAATATTTTATCTTCTCAGGACTTTGCATTACAGATGCCAGAAATTCAATGAATAGTCAATGGGCGTCTGAATTTTCTCCTGGATCAGCGCGGTAATGGGAACAGCGAGAAGCACGATTGTGTCTTTCAGATGCGTTTTTTACAATTGATTATGCATGCTTATTTTTCCTGGATGATTTTGTCATAAATAAAAATGGAGGTTGTTTAAATTATATGGGGGTGGGGGGGGGGTCTTAAATGGCTGTGAGCCTCGCAAGTCAGAGATCCCCTTGGGTGAGAGGACAGATAGTCAGCGTAATGAAGCACGTTCCTAATGCCTCCTGATTTTGCCGGTGCTGCTGCATTAACACTCTTCTATTAAATTTACCCCAGCCAACCAGGGCAGGACTGAGCTGTGACATCATTTGTTCTGACCTTATATTCTCGAGTCGGTGCTGTGAGTTCCAGTTCCAAACCTAAGCTACTGACCTGACAGAGAAGAGGAAGGGGAACTTTTCAGCCTGGGATCCCTGCAGCCATTGGCAGGTCCAGCTCGACACCAAAGACTTGGGCATGTGATTAGACCTTGGGATTAGTGACTGCAGCAGAACCATTGATACTTAACCTCCTGAGACCCAAGGAAAAAGTGTCCTTCAATTTTAGGTTATTTGTCTTTGGAGGAAATGACATATTTTTTCAAATTTATTTTTCTTTTTAATTTCACAGCATGTCCTCTTTAGTGTACAACAGGAATAAATACGTTTCCTTACATCAGTGAAAAGATAGATACAAAAATAAAATGTCTACTACAATGGACATAAATGAATGGGTGGTGTCTCAGGAGGTTAATGCAGCTGCCTCTCTGCATCCTTCCTAAATTACCCTCTCTCCAAAAATGGCCTGCAGGCTCCATGGTAACCTGTTTGTCAAAGTGTCTGGAAGCAAATTAAGAGATCTTAGAGCTCCTGCTTTCAGTGCCTGAGGGGATTAAGAGTGAGGTAACAGATTTATTTATAAAAAAAAAGTGTCAGCGTCTGTAGTGTTATGGAAATATTACAAATGATATATATTCTATATGGACAAAATAATTTGGACACACCTCTCCATTGAATTCAAGTGTTTCATTCAGACCCATTGCCACAGGTGTATTAAATCAAGCACCTAGCCATGCAGTCAGGTTATAAACATTTGTGAATGAATGGGTCATTCTGAAGAGCTCAGTGAATTTAATTGTGGTACTGACATAAGATTCCACCTTTACAATATGTCAGTTTGTGAAATTTCTTCCATGCTAGATATTTCATGGTCAAATGCAAGTGGTATTATTGCAAAGTGGAAGCATTTAGGGACAACAGAAACTCAGACACAAAGTGGCAGATCATGTGAAGTAACTGAGTGGGGTCGCCGAGTGCTGAGGCACATAGTGTATAAAAGACCCCAACACAAAAACTGTGCACCAGGAGCTTCATGGAATGGGCTTCCATGGCCGAGCAGCTGCATGCAAGCCTCACATCACCAAGCTCAATGCCAAGCGTCGGATGGAGTGGTGTAAAGCACACTGCCACTGGGCTCTGGAGCAGTGATAAGGTGTTCTGTGGAGTGATGAATCATCTCTCTGTCTGGCCGTCTGGTGGATGAGTCTGGATTTGGTGGATGCCAGGAGAACATTACCTGCCTGACTGCATTGTACCAACTGTAAAATTTGGTGGAGGGGGAATAATGGCATGGGGTTGTTTTTCAGGGGTTGGGCTGGACCCCCCTTAGTTCCAATGATGGGAACTATTAATGCTTCAGCATACCAAAACGTTTTGGACAATTCTTTTTTTCCGACTTTTTTTGGAACAGTTTGGGGAAGGTCCTTTTCTGTTCCAACATGACTGTGCTCCAGTGCACAAAGCAAGGTCCTTAAAGACATGGCTGGGTGAGTTTGGTGTGGAAGAACTTGATTGGCCCTAACCTATACCCCATCAAGCACCTTTGCAATGAACCTTCACGTCCAACATCACTACCTGACCTCACAAATGCTCTTCTGGATGAATGGGCATGGTCTTCATGGTTTGGCATGACACCAGTGGGAATGTGCGGGAGACTGGTTTTGTGAATTCCTGAATCAAATCCATTGGGTTCCTTTGTGTTCTCATGTCTGTTGACAGATCTGGTACTACACCAATGGGATCCTGCGGGAGGCGGGCTTTGCAGAGAACACGATCCCTTACATCACCCTGACCACAGGGGGTGTGGAGACCCTGGCGGCCATCTGTTCGGTGAGTGTGGCCTGGCCCCCCATGCCCGGATGGAGTGGCATTTGAGTGAGTGATGGGGCAAAGGAAAGGTTTTCTTAACAGATGTGTGGAGGTGTCCGGGAAAATCCATGACATCATGCTGCAGGTGAAGGCCTGTCTCCATACCGTGAGTCACAGATGATCGTGTTTATGAACCATTATTCGCACAATCTGACCATAACACCGTGTTTCACCGACATGTGTGTGCATTTGCATTTATTTATTGAGCAGATGGTTTTATTCACAGGGATGTACTATTGAGAAAACGGGGTCAGATGGTCCCTGGAGAAGTTGTGGGTTAAGGGCCTTGCTCAAGGGCCCAATGGTGAAATCATTCTGCTCCCATCAGGATTTGAACTGGAAACCTTGCTTGGGCATCCGCAGGGAGGTGTGTGAATTTACTGCCCATTCACACTTCATGCTTCGTTGATCACCTGTGCCATCCATTCTCCTTTTTCTAGCTGACAGATTAGCTTGCCTCTGTGAGAGGCCCCACCCACTATTATTCCGGGCTGCAGTGCCTGTTAACACAGTCATTAGCAGTGCCTGGATGCACACAACACATATAACTTTCCACAGCGAACCACAGATGAACTTGAAAGGTTGAAGGTCACTGTGTTTCTCATCTTGTTGAACTTCTACAATTTCGGCCCTTTATTGGTTACGCTAAGATGTCCCTTGAATGTTTGGCTTGCCATAACGGCATCCATGGATTGGACATCACTGAGGTGAAATGTTAGCATCGTATGTCACATTGCATACAATGTCTTGTTGATTCGTCTCTGATGGAAAGGTCAGTTTCCGACACGTTCTCTGACGGCAGTCCAGTCCCAGGAATGGGTTGGACCTGTGCCTCGTCCCTTTCACTCAGTGGAAAGCGGAAAATTCATAACCAAATTCACGTCAGCCGCCCTGTGTACATCCTTCTGAGTCACTGGGCTGTGAGTCAGCAGACACTTATGGGAAATAAAGGCCAGAATGTTAAGGGCTGCCCCCCATCAAAGTGGCTTCATATGGGATGAGCAATTTGCAGAGAGGAACTGATAAAAAATGGACAAGTCTGCAGAAGTTTTAAAGATACAATTATAGTTCAAGATATCCTGATAGGAGGCCATCGCATCCGCTGGCTTTCTGAGTTGAATTTGTGGGACGTGCCACCTTTACATCTTTACAGACACATGTGTCTGTTTCACTCAACTCGAGATGCAGTGCATTGTGGGATTTGCCACTGAAATACATATAGTTGGAGCCACATGCTCTGTTTTGGGTATATGTCCTTGGTACCCCTACACATCGACACCCTCTGCTTTTGTCTCCCTGTTAACAGAATGACAGCTTGGTGTCCTTTGGCTTTTCAGACATCAGTGAGGCTCACATTGACAATTGAGTCTCCCAGGTGGGATCCCAATGTACAATTAACTGTCAATCATGGGGGCAATGGCGTTGTCCTACCCAGAATGCACCTGTGTCCTCCATTGACATTTGGTTGAAGACCAGCTCAATGTTATTTAACACAGATAATCAAGGTCAGTCAGTCACTCCAGTCTAGGATATTCAGTGCTGTCTAAGTCGAACACTGTCTAGGTTTATCATGCAGTGTCTGTCAATCAATTCAGTCTAGATTAGTCAGTGCATGAATGAAGAAATGGATTGGTGGGGGGTGTAGTTCAGAAATATATCTCACATGAGCCTCTCCCTGGACAAACACAGGCATTGCAGACCTGAAATCATCCGAAAAAATCTTTGGGAAAATCCTTAAGGTTGCAGCCTGTTTGCAGTCATTGTCTGTGCTGGTCCACTGGATGTTTATTTATCATTTCCATTGTGTTGAAACTTAGGTTGCAAAAGTTCAAAGGTACAAGAGCAGGTGCCCCCAGAGACTGAGCCGACAGGCCCTTGTTGTGAGAACGCAGCTCCCGCTGGCCCTCAACTATAAGGCCAGCCTGACAGTCACCAGCGCTGCTGCCCCCGCAGTTAGTGGGATCTCGGCCCGGCAACGTGTTCGTGGGCTGCATTTGTTGAAGAGCTCTGCTAACATCAGATGCTCTTGGTGAAATTCTCCCATGGGAGAGCAGCCATGGCTCAGACTGCTGCAGTAAACACCAACCACCACATAATCCCAGCCACACGTGTGTGGGGGGGTGTTTCTCTCTCCCATTTTCACCCAAATCTTTTCTAAATTGTGCAGTCTCTTCCTCTTTTCAAATTGCCTTCTTTTCCCAGGTGGGAGCAGACATTCGCAAAGCTGCAGATTAAACTGTTCATGGCTGTTTTTTAAGAGGTGTGTGGATAAGCATCGGCGACCTAAATGTCCTGGCAGAATTCCATTTTCACAGCTCATTTTCCCTCAGTGCGCCTGCATATGGAACCTTAAAAAGCTCCTTCAGCGAGCCCTTTGTGTGTAATACCAGCCGCTACTGTCAGTCACCCGCCAGTCATGTTGTCGTTAACACTGGCAGATGGTACTTTCCAGAAAGGGGCCTTTGGGTCCTTTCCACAGAGTCTCTGTCTGCCTGTTGGGGCACAGGCGCGACTCTACGGCGATGTCATTATGGAGTTTTCATTTATTATGTGCTCTGTTACGTGTGTTATATCCTCCTGAGACCCAAGGAAAAAAGTGTCCTTCAATTTTAGGTTATTTGTCTTTGGAGGAAATAAGACATCTTACAATTTAGATTTTTTCAAATTAATTTTTCTTTTGAATTTCACGGCATGTCCTCTTTAGTGTACAACAGGAATAAATATGTTTCGTTACATCAGTGAAACGATAGATCAAAAACAAAGTGTCCACTACAATGGACATAAATGAATGGGTGGTGTCTCAGGAGGATATGCTGTTATGTACCTAAAACTGAGGTAATCTGTAGAGATTTACAATGGGCAGGTGTTGGACAGGGGGGGGCGTCTCCATTGGTAAATTTTGCTGACCGAGCAGAGGGACTTGGTAAATTTTGGCATAATCATACGTTTTTAGGGTGCTCGTAACCTCAGAAGGTGGGGTACTTTCAATCGAAAATGTTACAGTGCACCCTTTGCACATGTCTGGTCAACTGCGACATGTAAAACAGTCTCTAGCGCTGATGGTGGGTCCGGTCAGTCCGGGTTCAGTCTGAGCCAGACATTGGTGTGACCCACAGTAATAAGACCTGTTCAGGGAGCTTTAAACAACAACACAGCAAGAAGGTGGCCTTAGAGTAGGTGAGGATAGCCTCTATGCCACCGGGATCTGGCTGGGGAACAAGCTTGTCCTCGGATGGACAGTCACACAGCCGTCCGTGACAGCGCCCCCTACAGGGGGGGGGGGGGGGGGGAGTGTCAGAGCTCACAGGTCAGAAAAAATGGTCTGTGATGTGTTGGGATATGGAAACAGTGTTAAAAAAAACATAGCATCAGAATCAATCCCACCACGCATCGCAGAAATAAATAACAGGGAATCTGAAGCTTGCAAAGTCGTATGTTCATGTTTTGTAAACAGTGTGCAACTATTCGTCATTATTTATTTATTTAGTAATTTATTTAGGGTCAGACAGTGTCCCAGGAGCAAGTGGGGGCTCACTGCCAGCAATGGAATTAACCAGCTGAGCTATACGTTACCTCTGTTGTGTTTTAGACCCAGATTTTAGCTGCCTTGGGGTTACAGATGTACATGGGGTAACCCCTCCCCCCCCCATGCAGAAGTGCATGGCAGTGCCTTTTGCCTGCGTATCTGCACCACAGAGCTCAGCCAGGCCACTGTGTTTTAGTTCAGCATCAAAGCAGTGCACTGCGATTTCTCCACAGACCTATGACAATGAAACACGATGGGCAACAGGCTGGAATATAAAATGTGCTGATGTTCCTGGGATTCCAGAAGATGAGATCTGTTGCCAGCGGGGGGGTATGACAGGGAGGGGCTCTGTTGCTGTCTGGCTTCACTGGACAGACCCCATGGGGTCACTTTCAGGACGAGATCTCATTTTTATCACCTGTCTCATCACCCCTGATGCACCCCCCCCCCCCCCAAAAAAAAAAAAAAAAAAAAAAAAAAAAAACAGAAGTCATTTTAGGTTACCTTTCCTATAGAACAGGACTATACATTGTCCTTTTATTAAACAAACTAAATAGCCTTATGTTATTTATGTTATTTACACAACAGCTTGTCGTTTTTGTCTCTATACGGTCGCGCGTTTACAATTCAGTTCCGCCCCGATGCGTGTGCACAGACACGTGCGCACACACACAGGTGAGCACACTCCCACTAGCGGACAGACAGCACGCGTGGAAAATATGTCGGTTCAACCACCTGAAAAGCAGGGTAATAAATACAATGGGATTTTCTGCTTTAAACTATCACTATTTTAAGCTATCAGCTATCAGTTTTAAAGCCTAACAGTTAATGTATTTGCAGGTCAAGATAAACATCCGCAATCGGTCTTTGTCAGCTGATGTCACACTCGCTATAACCGTAGTGTATTATGGGTTGAATCGCCACTGCTGTCAGTAAAACAAACACATGAACACCATGAATCATGTCAGTGTCCGTCTAACCCCCCCGTAAACCTGGGGGAAACACTGTTTAGGTTTCCATTAATTAAACTTGCTTGTTATTTCACCAGGCAGCTTCCAGGGACAGAAGCTCTTTGTGTAATTTACTTGCCTGACCTGAAGTGGGCACTGTTCTCTTTGGAGGTTTTCATGCTCTGTTGTCATCCTATTAGGTGTCACATCGAGGTGACAACCGGGGTGGAGCCCATCTGCCCACAGTAACAGCACTCTGCAATCTTAATAAGCAATCTGTTAATTAGCCGTCCTTAAAAAATGTGTGGCGTCGCTGCTTGTTGCCACTGTCGTTTCGGGGCTGCTGGGCACAGGTGGTGCCCCTACAGGTTTCCCACAGCAGTGCGGGCAGAAGGGCAGCTCCCCACGTAACAGGGGAGTCGGGGGCCAGATATCTGAAGAGTGAGCTGATGGAAACTGCAGCCTGACTGAAGGGTTGATTAGCTTCTCTGTGGCAGGGGGAACTTACCTCTGGCATGTGATTGCATGATGATGTGCACCTTAAGACCTTCTGCTTCCAGGGATGTCAACCTTAATGTAATGTACTCTATGCACCAGCAGGGTAGTTACAGGACTCTGAAGGAAAACCAGTAGGTTGCGCCTGTCGTTCATTGCACCATGATGTGAGCCTAAGCTAAGAGGTCAACGGGCAAGCTTCTGAGAAGTCTCTGCTGCAGGAATAAGTGGCACCTCTGATGGGAGGGGTGCTAGGTCACTGCAGGTGGAGGCAGGGGATTTGGTGGCGGACCTGTTGTTTCATCTATGATAACCAGTAGGGGGCATCAGTGGAGCATGAAAGTGCTGTCACATGAGCCAGCCATGCCTCGCCTGGAGGGCTTTTACACTGCCGGGCCAGCCGGGCTGAATGGGAGGTGTCTCATACGCTCTTCTGCATGTTCTTACATTACTCTTGCTGGAAATACCCTCATATCAGTCAGTGTGCTCACCTATGTTAAAAATGGGAGCTGTTAAAGGCCTGAAGAACAAGTAAATAACTGAAGCATCGGGGGTGCATAGGATCACACGGTGAATGAAAACCTTGTGCCACCAGATGGCACTACCACACCCCTCAGGTATGGTCCCGCCCCTCAGGTATAACCCCGCCTCTCATGCAGGTCTCAGGCAGGTGCAGGCATGTGTACGTGCACACAGATGCACTCAGCAAAGCACCATTCTCACTGAACCATGCAAGTAAACAGGCTAAATGAGTGCACAGGACAGGGAGGGGGACCACATCACTTGGTCGGAGCTCTCCTCCAGGGAGGGCTGGGAGGGGCAGGTGCCCGGCTGTGTGTCTCCTTTCAGGCGTGGTGCGTACCGCATCGCCCACCTGACTCAGCCCTGAGCCTTCCCCCTTACCGGGACCCCTCTCCCTCCCCCAGAACGTCTGAGGCCAATTGACCACGACAGGTCTTTCCTCGGAGCAGGCTGAGCCACAGAGCGGCGTTCCCCAGCGCTCCCCCTCCCCCTTGGGCCGGTTTGGTCGGTTTTTACTCATTCAGACACGGTTCACCTGTCTCAACGCTGAGCTCCTCCTTATTTCTGCATGGAGGGATGATGGCTGTCAGACACTGGAACATTTCGTCTGGGCTGGGGGACATGATGGAACCGCTCTGTGTGTGTGTGTGTGTGTGTGTGTGTGTGTGTGTGTGTGTGTGTGGGGTGGGGGGAGAGGGGGCGGTCTTACACATATATTACACTGTGGGGACCAAATGTTCCCACATTGTGATAAAAACCTCTTATTTTGACTTTGTGGAGACAATTTTTTTGGGAAACTGAAAATGCCAGTCTCATATTTTGTTTGGTTGCTTATAGTTAAGGTTAGGGCTGGGTGGGGGTTAGGGTTAGCATGGATTATGCCCATGGAATTGAATGGACAGTCCCCGCAATATCAGGAATATATGAACTGTGTGTTTGTATGAGAGTGAGCAACACAGATGTGCACAGATTTACATACAAAAGCAGAAGGAAATAGACACGCAGCCCTGGGGGGTATTTTTCGTACGTGGATTACTCGTTTAGCCGGATGTAATTGCTGGCGATTTGGCATGATCCTGGATCTGTCGGTTGTTTGAAACTCTTGCTGGATGTATTGTCATAGCAGCACACCCAAATCCTCAAACCTGCTCAGAGCAGGTTTGTTCTACGTAAGCAAGGATTAGCTCAAACACTAAATCAGTGTCCGTGCATGGAAATCCATTCAGTCATGGCCTCGCCATTCATGGATGAGCGACCAATTGCAATCGGTGCACAAATAATAAGAAGGGAATTTCAAATTGAGAGGGTTTTGCGTGATCGGCAAGATCCTTTATTGTTGCCCGGTGATATTCTTTTCGAAAGATACCACTTCAGCTGAGATGGAATATTATATCTTAAAGATTTATTAGCTCCGTATAACAGAAGTCTAACTAGGCAAAGTTGGGCTCTCACAGCCACACAGACAATGTGCATTGCCTTGAGATATTTTACAAGCGGCACTTTTTTGTTTACTGTAGGCGAGGTGGAAAATATATCAAAGAGTACAGTTTGCCAGGCAATTAGCAATTGTTTTTCCCAGACACCTGCGAGTGCAGGCAATTAAAGATACATTTTATTCCATTTCAGGTAATGTATACGCAATAAAATTACAGTTCTATAAAGAATTTTAAAAATCACACTAATATTCTCATTACCCAGAATTTCCAAAGGTGTTGTCTGCCTTCTTCTTATTAGCTGCAAAAGGAATGTTTTATAATTATTAATGATTTCCTACATTTCATTTACATAAAATTAACAAACACATACACACACACACACATGCAGTTATTAGCCCCCCTATGAAAATCTCATTGTTTTCAAAATATTTCCCAAGTGCTGTTAAATAGAGCAAATAATATTTATCATGGCTTTTTTTAGACATCTCATTTTTATTTTGGATGCTTACATTATTTTACTTTTCACACAGAAATGAAAATATTCCACAGAAACCAAAAACTACCATAGTCAAAATTATTAGCCCTCCGGATATTAATAGTCAATTGTGTATCCTTTTTGTTGGATAATAGCCTGCAATCATTTGTTGCAATCAAGTGTCTGACAGGTCATCTGAGGAATCCCAGCCCATTCTTCTTTGGCAAATCTCTCAAGATCCCCCAGATTTGATGGCCTTCTGCAATGGACCTTCTTCTTTAGTTCACCCCACAGATTTTCTATTGGATTTAAGTCAGGGTTTTGTGCAGGCCGCTCCAATACGTTCACTTTGGTCTTCTGGAGATAGTTCTTCACCAGGAAAGACGAATGTTTGGGATCGTTGTCAAAGCGACGACCCAGACCCAGTTTTGCTGCTGAATGCTTAAGGTTTTCTTTTAAGATCTCCACATATATTTTTGTTCATAATTCCTTCCACCTTGACAAGATTTCCAGTTCCTGATGCACTGAAGCATCCCCACAGCATAATGCTCCCACCACCGTGTTTCACTGTGGGGGCGGTGTTCTTTGGGTTATACGCCTCTCTCTTCCTTCTCCAAACATAAGCAGTGTCTCTATGGCCGAAGAGCTCTAGTTTAGTCTCATCTGACCATAGGACATGCTTCCAGTAGGCATCATCTTTCTCCAGGTTGTCCTGAGAATTCTTTAGTCTGGCTTGAAGGTGTCTCTTCTGGAAAAGTGGAGTCCTTCTTGGTCTGCAACCTCGAAGTCCATTCCTGTGCAGAGCTCTAGTGATTGTCTTCTTTGAGACCACAATTCCCGACTTGGCCAAGTCATTCTTTAGAGTCTTGGCAGTTGTTCTGGGGTCTTTAGACACATCTCTCACTAGTTTCCTTTCCAGGATCATTGAAATCTTTCGCTTCCTACCTCTGCCAGGCTTGTTCTGTACTGTGTGGCTCTCTTTGAATTTCTGGATTATACTTCTCACTCCAGAACTTGACACTTGGAAACGCTGTGATAACTTTGTATGTCCTTCTCCTGCTTTGTGTGCATCAACAATTCTTTTTCTCAAGTTCACACTGATTTCTTTTGTTTTTGGCATGGTGCTTTCTCAAATGACAGCTGAATGACCCTTACTGAGGATTTTTCACTCAGCTTTATGCCTTCAGTTTTAACGTAATTGTTAAGTTAAATCACTTGTGACATTAAAGCACATTATACCTATGGCCTCAACTGTGTGTGTGTGTGTGTGTGTGTGTGTGTGTGTATATATATATATATATATATATATATATATATATATATATATATATATATATATATACAGTGTATATACCTGTATATATATGAATTAAATGTCGTATTAGTGCTTCAATTTAATTTGTTCCCATGTCCTGCATGATTGTGCTTATATTTGATCTGTAATTATGATAATAAGATACTGTAATGATGAAACACTGGAAACGTAATATTACATTCATACATTCAAGTGATAAATACAATAACTAAAAACTACTTACGCATTTAATTTGTCGGACACTTTTTACCAGCCGTCTTTTCTGGTTTGGACCGCTTTTGATGCGTTTCCTTTAGTATATATTAAATCTTTGAACTCATCATACCCCTCTAATAAAAGATCCTGTTCGGATTGCGTGAAATATTGCACCCTGTTTTTTGACATTTTGTGGAAGCCAATAAGAGACTTGCAGGTCAAGTTTTCTAGACTCGATATATAGGGGCTTTTCAAGCAGCGCAGGCGTGTGCAATCATCTTGGATGGATGGATCCAGCTTAACTAACCTACTACACTGCTGCGTTTGAAAAACCGACTTATCCCGGATGAGTTTCACCGGCATTAACTCATCCAAGATGAGGCATCTGATCTCGGATGATTTAAGCGTCGTACGCAAAATACCTCCCTTGGTGCACACGCGTTTTCTGGCTGTGCTGTTGTTTTGGGGGCCTGTCGGGGCCTGACAGACGTGGGGGTGGGCGCTGGAGTGTGGAGAACATCACAGCATCACACTGTACCTGTTTCATTATTTCTGAAAGGAAAAAACATTTCTGTTGCCATCCCAGTTTGAGTGGGCAGCTTTCTTGGGTGTCTCGATGACAGAGGTGGTGGTGAGGGGGGGGGGGCACTTTGTCAGAGTGGTGGGTAAAACGGTCCGCTGGCCTCAGATCCTCACTACTGGTGATTTCTGTATTGTCTGTGAGATTCCTAATGTTTCTGGCTCTGGGTTTCTATGTAATGTTCTATTGTTTGTTAGAGTTTCACCTCATGCATTGTTGTGGTGAGACCCACCTCTACTGTATGCTTATTGGTTGGTCATTGGTCATTTCCTCCAATGGGATATGCATGTTAACTAGCAGAGGTTTCTGTCTCCTTTCTCGTTCTGGTTCCACACCACAGGGGCTCGTGATCGAACGCATTGGCCGGAGACCACTCCTCATCTTTGGCTTCAGCTCCATGGCCGCCTCTTTCAGCCTGCTCACCATTTTCCTCAACCTCCAGGTGAAGGTTTTGTACGCCTTACCTTGTGTCTTGGACTGGTATATAGATGTCTCTCATTCAAAACGTCCACTCAACATGCAAACTGGCCAACAGTCATACCTTATTCAAGGGACACAGTAAAGTAAATTTAGCTTAAGCTGCAGAATATGTATGTATTGTGTGCGAGAAGTTAAATGAGTAACAAATGTGAGATTGACTTATCGAGGGCAAATCATGGCACAGAGGTCTACTGTAGAGGTGGCCATAGGAGATGGACAGCTTGGTTTAAACAGTCTAATGGACTTTATCGTCAGGAGAAAAAAAATAACTGCCTGTTTAAGACTGGCAAACTACAAATTTTGAAAAACAAATTTAAGCTTTCTGGCATCGAAAGGACAACAGACTCCAGGTATAGATAGGGCTGCAGATAAGTTACCACAGAAGCATCAAAGGGCACTGGGAAAAAGCCAAAAACCGTCACTGTGTCTCTCTGTGGCTGATACTGTATGTGGTAAGGAACTGCTTATATCATTGCCATGGGAACATATACACGCCATATCATTCCAACAGGGATCACTCAGAACCTTCCAGAATGTCACTTTTGGCCTGCACACTAGGGCTCTCATTATCGATTATATTAATCATTGAGTAATATGCAGATTAATTTGATAAATAATCATTTATATATATATATATATATATATATATATATATATAATATTTACATTGTGATTGGCGTGAGGCAGGAACCAACCAACCATTGCAAGGTGCACCCTCAGTCACACATATGGTCAGTTCAGGCATCCCAATTCACTTTAAGTTGCATGTTTTTGGACAGTGGAAGGAAACTGGAGAATCCGCTGTAAAGCCGCACACACATACAAGGGGGACGTGCAAATTCCACACAGCCAAAGTGTGTGATGACAGTGCATATCATCTTAAAATGTTGTCCTCCTCGTCATTTGACTGCGCCATTATGCATATTGTCCTGATGTGTCGCTTGACTGTGTTGTCAGTGTCGTCTTGGTGTGTCATTCTCCGTGCCGTCTGACTGTGCTTTTATGGATGATACAGCAGGACTAAAAGCAACCCAAAGATAAACAACATGTCAAGACAATAAGACAGTCAGACAACATATCAGGATGTCATGCATAAAGATGCATCAAACGACAAGGCATAATATGCATCATGGGCTACGTCTACAGAAGTACAAATTAAAGTTGAATTGACAGACAAACGTTTTGTCAGGTGAGCAATCGACAGACAATCTCATTGTCAAAATAGTTTTGTCACAGCTGTAGAGTTCAAAGTTTAATCAAGTAATTGAGACACCATCTTATAAGACAAAGACCGTTTGTGAATGAGGACCCAGCGATGTCCAAGCAGGCTTTCCATCCTGCCGGTGAGTGTGAACCGGACACACTGAACATTACACTGCAAAGTGTGCTTTCTGGTCTGGTGAGAGAGAGCTGGCCATAGCCTGGTTAATAATTTCAATGGGGCCAGCCCATAAACGCACACCCCCTCCAGTCCAAATGAGCGTGAATAATCACTCTGGCTGTAATAAAATGTGGAGGTCCCAGCCCTTCAGCTGGAGGATCTGGTCAGCGTCCTTAGCCCCGATTCCCCTGAGGAGATTAGGGGCCACTGTTCTCATTCCAGCCATTTTAATGACTTGCTGTGGAGTGCAGCTAAGAGTCTCGTCACGTCATTATTATGTGACCATGAACCATGCTACCATATTTTACATCACACAACAGCCTTATTCCATAACTGCCAGAGGATGAGCACAGTATTGTCACGTTATTATCACGTTCAGGCATTTCTAATGTTTCTCTCTCTCCTCTCCCCAATCCACTCTGCTCACTCCCCAATACCCTATCCCCTCTTCCCTATCCCATATACCCTGTCCCCTATCGTCTGTCCTCTATTCCCTATCCCATATTCCCTGTCTCCTATCCTCTCTTCTTAATACCCTATCCCCTCTTCCCTATCCCATATACCTTGTCCCCTATCTTCTGTCCTCTATTCCCTATCCCATATTCCCTGTACTCTATACTCTTTCCCCCCTTTACTATCCCATATTCCCTGTCTCCTATCCTCTCTTCTTAATATCCTATCCCCTCTTCCTTATCCCATATTTCTTGTCCTCTCTCCCTATACCCTCTCCTCCACCTCCCACCTCAGGCCCGAGTGCCCTGGATGGCGTACCTTAGCTTCGGCTGCATCCTGGCCGTCATCGCCTCCTTCTGTTCTGGCCCAGGTAGGTGGCTTTGTGGGGACTCATCTGTCACACAGAAACACCCCCCTCCATTTTACCAAATGTGTTCATCTGACACCATTATCTAAATCACCCTTAACCACCCTGGTCCCTGTTTGGACCCCTTGTATCCCCCTGACCCCCTCCGCTGCCTTGTTAGGTATTTATGACACTTGCCCCCCCAGTACAGGTCTGGGCCTTTGACATGTTAGGGTTTAAATGCTTAGCTCAGTACCCCAAACTGCCCTGATTCCCTCATTAATGCCAAAGCTCATCTGTGTTGTCTGACCTGATAATTACCAGTCCACCAATCACCACACCAGGGGGCGATCACCCTGCTGGTGGGGGCTAGTGGGGGCACTCAAACCAGTAGCGGATGTCTCCAGGAGCCAGTCTGGTCCCTGTTAGATGTTAAAATAGCACCACCCTAGTACTGCCGACAAGCCGGCAAACATGACATGCTCCTCATTAATGTTCTCGTCAGGCCCAGTTACCATCATTGCAGGAGAGGGCAGTCACTGGCAGCCTCTATGGGGGGGCAGAGTGACGCAGCTTAGACCCCCACAAGCCAGGGTGGTGTCACTGATGAAGATGAAGATGGTGACAGCTAATGGTGGCATTTTTCTGTAACTGAAGACTTTAAATGTAGGGGAGGGCGTCTTAGCCCCCCCCCCCCCCCCTAGTCTCAAGGCTTCACCATGGTAACCGAGAGACATTGGCAGAATGCACAAAACCGGGCACCAAAAAGATTAAAAGGATGGGTTTGGACTGCAGAATTGAGTCTAGTGCCACCGTTTGCCAATTAGCTAAATTGTGTAACAACCAGACGCATTATTAAACATCTCAGTCTCCTTACATTTGGAAGTGAGACACAGTTTGTCACAAAACCTTTCTTTGGCCCCCATTAACCTGCCTATAGAAAGATCACAAATGGAAAAAGTCATAAAAACTTGGAAGTGTAAAATGCTTTCTTGACTTGCAGGGCAGAGCTAGGTCAAAATTTAAATACTGTGAATTCAGAAGATGCTGTTCTTCATGTGAGATGTATTTGTTCACTTTTCGTTAAAATTGAAGTTTATGTATCTTCGTTTATTACATATGCTTAGATTTGCATGTGATTCCTGTGTGGGTCATTGTGTCATTGTGTGTGTGTGGGTGGGTCTGTTTTATGCATTTGAAAAGGATGTTGTTCCAGAAAATTCTAGAGCTCCTGTCTAGTCTAAGGGGTTCACGGAGGCTCACGGTAGAAGGTTCGAATTGTTATGTGTGTGTGTGTGTGTGTGTGTGTGTGTGTGAAATTTGCATATTCCCCATGCTGGCATCCGCACACTGAATGAAACAGCTGTCGCAGAAAGGGTGGGAACTTCAGCATCTTCGTGCATTTAGTGGAAATTCGAGAGCCCTGAACTCAGTCTTATATGATGATGAGACACCAGTGAACTGAAAGAATGTGGTTGTCACCTGACTTCACCTCAGGATCTCCTGTATTTTACTATAATTCTCCTCATATTGCTCATAAGGTTTGCTTGGCTAGGAAGGGGCATCTATCAAATCTGTACGTGTCGAGGTCATGTCTAATGCAGGGAGATCGGCAGGGGTAGTCAACAGACTGTAACCATCATCTGCAATTTTCAGCACATTCAGACATGACTGTAATTTGTAATTTACCGGGCCTGGTATCCAGGGTTGCCGACTTTTATGCATCTGGTGAGACACGCATGCTTTCAGAGTCTTACGCTCACGCAAGAAATCTTATGGCAAATCTATATTATTCCATTATAAACCTAAAATGAGCTACATCAGAAGTGTTTGCAAACCATACAGACAATTTACAAGGTAAGAAAACTCTCACATACATGTAAATGGGTGTGCAAACTTGTCCCGAATTGAAAATCTCACGCCAGCCAGCCGACTAAAGTCGGCAACTCTGGAGATCGATCTGCACCGTATCACGTTCGGTGGCTGCCTACATGGAACGCAGGCGGTAGCGCTGTGAGGTCGATCCCTGCTGGAATGAACTGGCCGCTTCAGAATAACGAGAGAGACTGAGAAACAATAATAATTATGGCTGAATCCGTTAAGGTGCTGCGTACTGGAATCGGCTGATGATTTACGTAAGCAGGCTTACGAGCTCTATGTTTAGGGCAAAAATAATAAAAAAAACCCATTACTAAATAGCCACCTGGCCTTTCCCTTCCCTGCGATCTCTCTGAAATGGTTTAAATGCCACAAGGGGAGGGGAATGCAAGTGGCAGATTGCCAGCTGGGGGTTGTTTTGGTGCCACACATTTCTGGTATGGCAGTTAACAGCAGTGGTCTGCGTGGCTGAAATGCTTGCAAAGTGACCTCCTACTGTCTGGCCTGCAACAGGGGCACCCCCAAGTGCCATGCTGCCATCCACAAGCATTGTGCAGGGGTGACAAGAGTGTCAGCAGCTGGCAAAGGGGTGTGGGTAGGCCAATGGTCCTGCACAGAAGAAGTGATGGCTCTGGGCAAACCCTTGGCATTACCATGTTTCTTCTTGACCCTGTGCAGGACTAGTCCTGTTGGTCGAAGGATCCGCCGACATGGGGGCTGGTGCCTTGCCGATCCACTGTAGGGGGTGTTCTTCTCCTCCAAAGTCCAGATAGAGTATGGCCCCCATGTCCACATCCTGGTCATGTGTGCAGGAAAAATGGGACCAAAGTCCAGGACCCTGATCACTGGGTCAGATGTTACCACCATTTGTACTGTGGAAAAGGCTCATTCAGCTTGGTCACTCCAGATCACCCGGGCAGGCTGTCGCTTCCTCCTGAGATCTGATAAGGGTTTGGCTCTAGAGGAGAAATGGGGAACAAAGCACTGATAATACCCTGCCAACCCTAGGAAAACCTGTACCTGGGTTTTGGTGGTTGGCCAAGGATAATTGCAGGTGGCCTCTATCTTCTTTTCCTGTGCTCAGAAAAGGCCATATCCAATTAGGTAATGGGCCCACACTAAGCCAAGGTGGCGTTTGGCTGGGTTACTGCTCAGGCTGCCCGATTGATGGCCCCCTAGACCTTCTGGGACCTTTACCTTAGCTAACTGTTCCCTCAAATTTTGCCACTTTGTTCAGCCTCTGCGATTCATTGCAGAACCATAAAGACCTGTCAGACTTTGATAGCATCACTAGTGAACTGTGCTTGGAGCTTTTCAACTCTTCAGTCACCTCAAGCTCTAGAAATGTTTCGATTATAGCCCCTCGGGCCTCTGGATGGGGTAAGGCCATCGGTGCACCATCACTCCAGGTGGAATCTCGATATGATGATGGACCACTGTGGTGCAACCTGCCGTTGTGGAGGACACATCAGTTACCCTCCCTTTTACAGTCTCCTAATTACTAAGTAATTACCCAAAAAATATATGGTAAATTATAGTATACTATTGGTTAATTACCACAGGTAATAAGTGGGTAAATGCAGAGAAACTACAGCTGAAATACTAAGAAAAATCTCCACTATTATCCTTGGCAATACCATGAAAACAAACCAGGTTTCCTTTTACAGTACATTTTCAGTTTACTTACTGAGTAAATTGTCATGTTCTCCTTAGTAATGTTGCATTAAATACATGATGTACATGGTACTTACTGAGTAAATTATAAAAACATCTACTAGAATGTACCCAATATTTAAGAAGATGTACTACGACACTAGAGGAAAACAGTCCCGGGTTGTTACCAGGTAAGCATGAGCTCAAATTTAATAAACCCTTTATAAGCTGGTTTATCCATGGACAATATCTGAAAGTAATGTATTGGAAAGTACTATCGATTTTTGCATAATTAAAGTTGTTATAAACATAAACCTTGAATAACTACAATTGTAACTTGAATTGGTGAGTAACAGAGGAGGTGTTTCTAAGAATTGGTTGCCTACTTTCCCAGGCGGTACACAGTTATATCTAAGTTATCACCAACCTAAACCAGTCACAACTCCACAGTACTTAATTGCGATAAAGGATAATAGTGGTGATTTTTTTTTTAGTATTTCAGCTGTAGTTTCTTTGTATTTACCTTACCTGTGGTAATTTACCATATACACTCACCTAAAGAATTATTAGGAACACCATACTAATAAGGTGTTTGACCCCCTTTCGCCTTCAGAACTGCCTTAATTCTACGTGGCATTGATTCAGCAAGGTGCTGAAAGCATTCTTTAGAAATGTTGGCCCATATTGATAGGATAGCATCTTGCAGTTGATGGAGATTTGTGGGATGCACATCCAGGGCACAAAGCTCCCGTTCCACCACATCCCAAAGATGCTCTATTGGGTTGAGATCTGGTGACTGTGGGGGGCATTTTAGTACAGTGAACTCATTGTCATGTTCAAGAAACCAATTTGAAATGATTCGAGCTTTGTGACATGGTGCATTATCCTGCTGGAAGTAGCCATCAGAGGATGGGTACATGGTGGTCATAAAGGGATGGACATGGTCAGAAACAATGCTGGTAGGCCGTGGCATTTAAATGATGCCCAATTGGCACTAAGGGGCCTAAAGTGTGCCAAGAAAACATCCCCCACACCATTACACCACCACCACCAGCCTGCACAGTGGTAACAAGGCATGATGGATCCATGTTCTCATTCTGTTTCCGCCAAATTCTGACTCTACCATTTGAATGTCTCAACAGAAATCGAGACTCATCAGACCAGGCAACATTTTTCCAGTCTTCAACTGTCCAATTTTGGTGAGCTCGTGCAAATTGTAGCCTCTTTTTCCTATTTGTAGTGGAGATGAGTGGTACCCGGTGGGGTCTTCTGCTGTTGTAGCCCATCCGCCTCAAGGTTGTGCGTGTTGTGGCTTCACAAATGCTTTGCTGCATACCTTGGTTGTAACGAGTGGTTATTTCAGTCAAAGTTGCTCTTCTATCAGCTTGAATCAGTCGGCCCATTCTCCTCTGACCTCTAGCATCAACAAGGCATTTTCGCCCACAGGACTGCCGCATACTGGATGTTTTTCCCTTTGCACACCATTCTTTGTA